GACGAAAAAAAATTTTTTTTCAAAGGAGTGACGAAAAAAAAAAATTATTTTTAAAAGGGGGTGACGAAGAAAGAAGAAAAATTTAGAAAAAATAACAAAAATAAGACAAGAGAAAGAGAAAGACAGAAAGGAAGATCGGAAGATCAAACTCATCAAAGTATTGAAAGTAAGGGTTTATATAAAAACAAAAAAGTATCATAACAAAACAATAAACAATCATGTGATCTCGTGTTAGTTATGATACGGGATTTTTGTCTAAAAATATTAAGTTTAAAAATTCCGTATACATTCCGCATGATTAATTTTTTCCGTATACATTTCTTATACATTAGTTTTTTTAAAAAATGTTCAAAAATGAATTGCTTATTAAATATACGGAATTTGTATATGGAATCTATAGAAACGTACAAAAAATGTATACAAAACGTATCCTTTCCGTATACATATTTCTTATAGGGAAATAACAAAAACAAGAAGAGAGGAAAAATTCAAATGTAAAATAAAATCAAAACGCGTAAAAAGAGAATAAATAAATGTGTAAATAAAATAATAAAATTAAGATACGTAAAAAGAAAAATGTGTAAAAAAGGGAGGAATAAATCAAGTAAAACTGAAAAAAGGGACGAATAAAATCAAGACGCGCAGAAAAGAGAGGAAAATATCAAGATGCGTAAAAATAGGAGGAATAAACCGAGCCATGTAAACAAGATATGTTAAAAAGGGAGGATACATACTTATTCTTCTCTTTTTTACATGTTTCTATCTTTTATAAGATGCATAAAATAGAAAGAGAAAGATATGTAAGAAAGAAGATGCATAAAGTAAGGATAATTGAATTAATAATTAAGATGTGTAATAAAATATATCAAAAGAAGATGTGTAAAAAAATTTATTAAAAGCTAAGTATTCCAAGTTTACCGAATTTCAGAAATGAAGCACAAATTTCTAATGCTATACAATTTTCATTTATTAAATGTCATAAATCTTACAATAATTATACGTTTAATTTTACAAAAAAAATAAAAAGTATTTAAATTTAACAAATACTAAACGAAAGTTAGACAATTATTACAGAAACTAAACAAAAACTATATAAATTTTATACAATGACTTTTTACTGGGAATTGAGCATCGCTACCTCAGCACAATTGCAAATTCCCATAAAATACTATTAAATGTTACTAACATATTTCATCATATCTTTGTTAAATTCTTTAGTATTTTCCCATGAAGGACTATGACCAATATTCTTATATATAATAGTTTTACTATTTTTTTTCAAAGAAGCAAAATAAAGGCTATGTTCCATAATAAGCAATGCATCCTTTTCTCCAATGATATGTAAAGTAGGTATAGTTAAAGAACTATAAAATTCATCTAAATTGAATGGTTCTAAAAAAAAACAAAAATTTATTTCCCTTTCTTTTTTTTAAAAAAAAAATAATAATAATATAAAATAATACTTACTAGTAACTGTTTTACGATATCCGGAAGTAGACGTAAAGGCATTACCCAATAAATATGCATGTAATTCATCGCTAAATGGTTTAAAAGGAAATAATTTCATAAACTCATCTATTCCAAGAAAAACCTTATCATAACTTTTTTTAATTATATTACTAAGAGGAGGATCAACTAAGTTTATTATTGTATCATTAACGGGACCACAAACTGCTATAAAGCCATCAATTTTCATATCAGGATGATTTTTCATAAAAGTTAAAGTTATAGGTATACCCAATGACCATCCAACCAATACAATTTTCTTTTTTTTTTTAGAAGAAATTTTCCTAATCACAGCGGAAAGGTCTTCGCCATTTATATCGTATGAATATGAATTCTCGTTATCGGGTTTATCGCTCCTACCCAAACCACGATAATCATACCTTACGAGATGAAATTTTTTATTTAATTCGGGGTCAAACCATTGTGGATCCCAAGTTGTTCTTGAATGGAGAAATGCACTTGAAAAGAGAATTGTTGTTTTCGTTGGATCTCCTTTTTCATCTACAAAAATTTTTACTCCATTTTCTCCTTTAACATAATAACTTTTAGTACCATCATTTGGAGGATAAACGTCAAATGGAACTTTTACTGCAATTACTGCAGAGACGTTGAGGCAAGCAAGAATAAAAATTAAAATGGATTTAATTAAATTCATGATCGTGATGTTTTTGTCGGTTACGATTTTTTATTCCTTATTTATATGTTATTTCTTGATAAAAGAACTCATGGAGCTTCATTTATTTGCATCATTATTGTGGGCCTAATTTCGATTTTGTAAAAAAAGAAGGAATTAGTAAAAAGAAAATAAAAATAAATATGTTTCATAATTAAAAATAGAGTAAATTTTAAAGTTTTTATTAACAAATTGGTAATTATTCGTCATCATTTTTATTTTTTAGAAATTAAACTTAAAGTTTTCGGCCCCCTAGTATAATTAAAGATAGAGTAAATTTTAATCTTCTGTTATTAGTTCCTTCTTTTTTAGAACGGCAGGTCTTTAATATAGGTAGGATCCTGCAAAAATTTAGTTGACATTATCTATAAAAGGAAAGTTCTTGTCCCTTCAAGTAAATTTTAAAGTTTTTATTATTTTTTAGAAACTAAACTTAAAATTTTCGGCCCCTAGTATGTTTCATAATTAAATATAGAGTAAATTTTAATCTTCTATTATTAGTTCCTTCTTTTTTAGAACAGCGGGTCTTTAATATAGGTAGGATCCTGCAAAATTTGGTTGACATTATCTATGAAAGGAAAGTTCTGCGTGATTCGTGTCCCTTCATTATAAATAGAGTAAATTTTAAAGTTTTTATTAACAAATTGGTAATTATTCGTCATTGTTTTTATTTTTTAGAAATTAAACTTATAATTTTTGGCCCCCTAGTATGTTTCATAATTAAAAATAGAGTAAATTTTAATCTTCTATTATTAGTTCCTTCTTTTTTAGAACAGCAGGAGGGCAAGTTATCTATAAATAAATATGCAAGTAATATAAAATGATTATCGGTAACACACCTCTTTATTGTTAACAAATCTTTTAATTGCATATGTTGTTGGCGTATTCTTCCATTTTGCTACATAAACAGATGCGAATCCGCCAGAGCCAATTTCCTTGAAATGGATAAGATCATAAAAATAATAGCGCTCAATACTATTGTTCTCTAATAATCTATTTAGCTCATTGGTGTAATGATCTTCAGGATGAGCCTAGAATCGGCATAATGGCGTATGAATTGGCGTTGTCAATAATTGAATTTTTGTTCACCTTTGTAAGTTTGTCTGTCGTGTAGCGTTAAAAAAAAACCATTTTGATATAAATATTAGCCTGTTTTCTTTGTGGCGCAGTTGGTCTACTATTTTGTTCTGGTTCAGTTTTTTCGAACTATCTTTTAAAGGAAAAGAGAATAAAGGTAATATAACACCAAAACGAAAACAGACAGTCCTTTGTATTGGTAGGATAAAAGGAATGAACTGTGCCGTTAGGTGATGAGAAATGTAAAAAGGTATTATATCTTTCGTTTTTGAGCGTCAAATAATTTTACAAAAAATGACTGAGATTTTAACTAATAACGAGAGAAAGGAGTAAGAGTTCGAAATCATAAAACTCGTTAGATATGCTTTAACTTATTTGTATGCAGTAGTGTTACGCGATTTCTTGCGCACGTGATTTCCGATATTGTATGGTGATCCCGATGAGATTTCAGTACATTTGTGTACATGTCGATTTCTGGTGTTACGAGCCGATTTACGCCGATCATAGTTGCTGATTTGTGTATATCAGTTAACTATATTAAAGATATTGATTATATATGATATACTGTATTTACATATATATCATTATTATATTTATTCAATTTATATAATTATTATTATTTATATTTTTTATATTTATTTATTTTCTTTATTTGTATTATGTATACAATTTTATTAGAAGATATTGTATGGGAATTAGTTCAATAGTATTAATTTTCCAAAATTATTATTCTTGTGTTCTATTTTAAAGTGGCTTACAATAAAAATTATCGCTATTGTAATATTGTGATGAAACATTAATAATTAGATATCAATAGATTAGATTCCACCCTTGATTGTTAGAAAAAGAGATGGCAGTAAGATATAAATATGCCTCTGCCAACTCCATGATAGAGAGAGACCTGGGTAATGGTTCTTGAGAATTTTCCCCTATCACTTTTATTCACTTTGTTATAAAACCCAAAATTCTATATCTATTAATAAAATTGTTATACTTTGATTAATTTCACACGTTGTTTTGTACATTCACATAAGATTGTCTTATATCTCTTGCATATTATTACTAATCGTATCTTATAGTTGTTTACCTTGACAATTCTTAACAAACAATACTGGAAATACCAGGATAGGTAGTATTGAGTAAGAATCCCATTGGTATTTGTGTGTCTATACGATATAAATCATCTATAATATGTCCCTTACTTACCGACGATATCGGTAACAGTAGTACCAAAAGTAATTGGATGTTCCCTGATGAAACGTTACAAAATTCATTGTCCACTAACACTTGTATCCACAGTCGATATAATGTAACACTCAATAGATTAGTAAAAAAAATAGTTGTACCTTATAAGGTCAACTTCTAACCTGAACGAAGATTGGAAAGAAGATATTAGCTTAGTATCTTAGATGTCTCTGCTGCTACTTCGTTCATGTGCACGAATAACAACCGTAGAGGCATAGACCATGTGGAACTAAGAAATTATGTCAGGATTTCCTGGTGCAAAGCACTCCTTAAAGAGACTTAATGTCCGAATATATGAAAATTTTCTATTCCTCCAATAACGTTTTTAATGACAATGACATCAGACATTCATTTTTGTAAATTAATTCACAAACTATAGATTTGTGAACATCAAAGTAAACTTTATTAAAACAAAATTTGTATACGATTATTATTTCAACTTCGCACCCGCAGCATCATCGGCGAAGTAATACTTAAATGGATTATATTAATATCGGAGTGATACCAATAAGGATGAAAATCCAAAAGTGATCGATGGTCAATCTTTCAGATGTCGAACCCAATGGTGATCTGTTTTCAATTACTAACCAACTATCAGTTTTTCTATCCCTTTTCCGCATTTTTAACATTTTTAACCCCTTTATTTTTTGATATAAGTAACTTTTGTTAGTATGATATGGGAATATGGGAATACATGTAAGATTCTGGGACAAATTAAATATTGAAAAAAACATTTGGGTGAGTACTATGTGTTTACAGCAACGTAGATTCTTTTTATTGCTCAAAAAAATGTGCACTTTTTTTTGGTATCTCATGTGTAATAAAGGAAAAATGACAAGTGAACGTGGAACAGATGAAGACATTTTAACATTCAATATTCTTCCCTTATACGGAGACTCTCGAAAAATTGATAGAAACAAACTTTTTGGAGTTGTGATGGCGAGGGACAAACAAGTTGACTTTCTTAGGCCTTTAATTAGAGAACGATTAAGTCCCAATACTTATTATAATGTTCCTAGCAACGAATTGTTTCTTTTCAAACTGAATGATCAAGTCACCACAAAAAATATCGACTATTATCTTTCCAGCAATAATTTGAATGTGGATAAAATGGAGCCATTGGAACTCATATCGAAGTATTTTCCTAAAGACGAGTTCGGTAGCAAAGAGCATATCCACATAATCGTTAGTTGTATGCAACAGGATTTTTAAAAATCAGTAATAAATACTTTTAGACCAAGTTTATTATGACAACTATTCATTATTATGAAATTGGTGCGCTGTTTGTACAATATGGTGAGAGAATTTCCACATAAGTATAATAAAAGATTGCCAGTAAAGAAACAAAAACCATAAGAATACTCTTTTTTTTATGTTTCTGCTAGTTTTCACTGTAATTAAGAATATCTCATGCTGCAAATGACCTCCTCCTTTTAAATTTCCACAGGAATCTCCTTCAGGGATTTGTTATCATCGACTCTAGCAATGACTTACGAGCCATTTCTGTTTTTTTGAGGACACGTCCATTAGGATTATATATAATAGGAAATATAATAGAGTTATCCTTATTGGACGAGTGACCACATACAATAGTTGTTACCTTATATTTTCCCTGTACATTCGATTATAATTGGTGCTCATAAAAAATATCTTATGTTTCGTACTTTCATTTGCTAGTCACAATGTCATGGGCTCTTCGGTAGCATATAACAGACTACTCCTACTAATCTTGAGTTTCGATCTAAGAAGTGATTCGTTTTTTCACTACAATAGTAATAAAGTATTTATTTGATTCGATTGTTGGCTGAGTATGTACATAACGTATTTTATGTATGACTGTTAATCCTTTATCAAATAAAAAATTGTATGCGGATGTGTCAGTAACTGGTGAAATATGGTTAATAATTAATTGCTAAAGCCATTTCGTAGGCATGACCTATGTTATTTGATAGAAGAATGCTCAGGAGCAGTGGAGTATATGATATAGGACTCTCGGGTATCGATATCAGTTGGAGACTGCCCAAAGGGCACATGTCCAATATCTTTTATAATATAATACGTGTTAGCGAATAAAGAATAGTAACTCAAAATTAGAACGATTTTTGAGAATGTGGAGAATGTGGAAATACAGAACTCGTCGTTGTATAACGAAGTAATATGTCTATCATTTATATATCAAATGCAAGGGCATAGCAAAATTAAATCTGTGTAGTGCACTATTCAAAATACCACTAACTATGAGATCGTGACCTCGGGTCACAGTTGTCTTGTTTTTGAATTTTATATGCGCAGTTCCCAATGTATAAGAATTAAAGGAAAACGTGCTATCACATGATACTCTGAACAAATGTTTGCGGTGTCATATGATACTGGACGAATAGCATCAAGCAATATAATCTGATCCTTTGATTACTTTTTTTATTCTATATATCACGAAATTTATACGATTTGGTCACTGAATTTACTATTTGTATTACAGTTTACTATAATTTTATTTACATAAATCTAATTTTACTTTATTAAATTAAATAAAAAATAAAAAATAAACAAAATACAAATACTATTAAAACCACCTATTGCAACTAAAATTATCTATAAGTTCAGGTTCATTTGGAGTCAAACAACCTAAAAAAACAAAAAAGAAAGAAACATACTAAGAACGTCTAACTTAATTGGAAACAAAATCCCCCCTCATATAGTATCTGCAATCGTCCAGGTCAGCATTCCTACAAAAAAAGAAAGAGCCTACATAAAAGAAAAGAACTATGAAGCGTGAAAAAGAAACCAAAACAACAAAATAAACCAAAACTGACCTACAAAAAAAGAAGACTCTGAAGCAACAAAACTGAAACGACCTACAAAAAGAAAAGAATCTGAACCAACTTACAAAAAATGATGAAAAAAAATTTTTTTTTAAAGGAGTGACGAAAAAAAAATTTTTTTTAAAAGGGGGTAACGAAGAAAGAAGAAAAATTTAGAAAAAATAACAAAAATAAGACGAGAAAAGAGAAAGGAAAGACAGAAAGGAAGATCAAATTCATCAAAGTAAGGGTTTATATAAAAAACAAATTACAAAAAACGGTATCATCGATTCATGGATCACAAATTAATATTTTTCTACAACAAAACAATAAACAATCACGTGATCTCGTGTTATGATACGGGATTTTTGTAAAATTATCTTCTAAAAATATTAAGTTTAAAAATTCCGTATACATTCTGCATGATTAATTTTTCCGTATACATTCGTATACATTAGCTTTTTTAAAAAATGTTCAAAAACGAATTGCTTATTAAATATACGGAATTTGTATACAGAATCTATAGAAACGTACATAAAATGTTGATTAGACATGATGTCATTGGTTTTGGATGGATTTTTACGACAAACATCGATCTAAACATTAAATACAATGGTTCAACTATACACCGGGCAAGCTCAACAAAAGCGGAAACTGCTGCTATATTAACAGCACTTATCGTCTGTCCTCCACACAGCCAAGTATCAATATATACCGACTCATTATGTGCGATTTCTACTTATAATTCGTTGTCATCCCCAAAATTAACTCCTCGTCGCTTTGCTGAAAAAATACTGTTCAGTAAACTGAGAAATTTTTTACTATAAGTTAGGGTTAGTTGTGAGAAAGTAAATCGTATAAGGTCAAGAGTGCAATATTTGCATCAGTCCATGTATATATAAGAAAAAGCAGAATATGATGATACCGAAGACTATATCATTTACAGAAATAAAATGAAAATTTTTTATAAGGAGAAAGCCAATTTAAAAAGTAATTATTAATTATTATGAACAAATTTTTCTCCATTTTACAAATGGATATTTTGCATTATTTTTTTTTTAAGAAAAAAAATTTTACGGATCTGTAGATAAGGAGAAAGCCAGTAATTATTTAATTATTATGAACAAAGATTAACTAATTTTTCTCCATTTTACAAATTAGCGAAATGTACTGTAACTCCTTGTTTTTTTTAAAAAAAAACAGTAACGCGTTTATTATTTATGAACAAATCAAACCAAATGACATAACTGTAACTCCTTGTCTACCCCTTTACTTCGCCTTTCATATGAAACAATGGGTTACGGCACGATTTCCCGATAAGACAAATTCCTGAATGGAAATTTCCCGAAAAGAACTTTTCCCGACATGATATTTCCTCGACATGACAATTTCTCGAAATCAAATTACGAAAATGATTTACAAAAATACTTGATTTTACTGCAAAAAAATAAAATAAAAATAAATTTTTTATATAATAAATAAAGTAATGAATTTATGAAAAACTTTTCAATCGCCTCTTTATGGAATATTACGACTAAAAATTACATGAAATTTATTATAAATTATTTACAGTTTAGGAATATTGTCTAATTTATTAATTTGAAATATTATAAATGAAATTAACATTAACGAAAATTTAATATTTCTTTTTCTTTTTTTAGATTAGTCAAATATTTTTATTACCTTTTTTTTTTTTCATCAATTTAAAATAGGTTAAAATAAAAAAATGATTTTCCTTTTTAAGATTAATCACTTTTTTTTTTAAAAAAAAAAAGTTTAAAGAATAATTAAAAATTATTAATTAAGGAAAAATTCATTTGATTCTTACGAAGTAAATCAAAAATAAGTCATTTTTCCTTTTTAAATTTATGAGTTATAATTTTTTTTACGAAAAAGGTAGATCAAAAATGGAAAGTCATTTCCTTTTTTATTTTTGTATTTTATTATTAAAATGTAAAATCTAATCAAGATATGATTGTCAATGATCTAATGCATTACAGGATATGATCATCGTTTCACTCGTTTCAGCACGAAAAAAATCTATCGAATTATTTGATAAATAGGTTAATAATAAAAAACTAATTAAAATTTAAATATTTGCGATTTATCAGTTATAATGTGTTATTTATTATTAAATACTATATACTCAACCCAAAGTTACATTTTTAATAATTTGATTTTGATTTCGGGAAAATTTCATGTCGGGACAATATCATGTCGAGAACAAATGCTTTTAGGGGAATGTCCACTCAGGAATTTGTCTTGACATCTGCTGATCATCTCATAATGTCACTATTCAAAATATGTAAATCATCACATGAAAGTTCACAAAGGTGAATTTTAAATACTCCTAGAATACTGGCTTTGATGAATCCGGTTGTTATGACTGTGGAATTTGTTTATTTTTATTTTTTGCTAATTATTTAAAAAAAATTCCTAACAAAATATTTCATTTATTATAGATATGCTGGTTTTGACAAAGCCGGGCAAGTGAGGTTTATTGATTATTTACAAAACGTCTCTAATGAAACATTTCTATTTGTAACCAGATACTTGGAATGTAGGGAGATCTTTTCATTTATCAATAAAAAACTACAACAGGAAGATGTGTGAACTTTTTTGTTTATTACAGAATGATTTTATATTAACAGAAAGATAAATCATATGATTTAGATTAACAAGAAAGATAAATCATATGATTTAAATAAATAGAAAGAAAAATGGTAGCTTGCTGCTAACTTTTTTGAATAATTTAAACTAGTAGGAAAATCATTATTTACTTATGTAAACGATTATATATAACCTTGCCATGGCCACCAAAATTTTGTTTTTTACAGAATCGTTACCGTAAGATAACAAAACAAACAAAACATAACTTCTTAAATTTAGTACCAATATGAAACTTCAAAGCCTTTACCTTCCTATTGCCATCTTCATCTGTGCCTGTATAACATTTGTTTCGGTCACTGATGGTAAAGTTTTTATTGTATTCAGTATTTTCTCTGTTCTCTTCTAATAATTCGTTTTTTTTTGGTTTTATATATAGCATATATTGTCGCGATATTTGGTGACTTGGCGGGAGGTACTAATTGTAGAATTTGGATAACAGATCAAAATAATAATCGCATAGGTGGCAATGGTTACCACAGGTGTGATGCCGGTGTAGCTAAAAACATTACTTTCTCTGATACAAATAATTATGGAGTTCATGCACAAGTACAATTTAGTGCCAAAAACCCGAAAACCCTAGGTCCTTTTAATGGAAATACCTGTTTTATTATAGAGGGTGATGTTTTTAATTGGTCGTTTACTCAAGGAGCCTGTTAATTATTTTTGTAAGTTGACAATTTGTATGTAGGGGAGTATATAGAAAGTAAATAACGTAAGAGTCGTAAGATAGTAAAGTAACGTGAGGTCACATGACTACCTAGTACTCCCTTACATAACGTAAGTTACTTAGTTTAGTTAGTTTAAATTACATGACTAATAACCAATTAAATTTTAGTAGTAATCATTTGTTATCATTCTTTTTTTTTTCATTTTATTTTTTTTATTAATAATATTAATAATCTATCAAAATAATTTTTAAACTGTTCTATAAATCAACCAAACTTGAAATTAATATATTTTAAAAACTTTCACTAATTAATTGTATGAATGATGCAATCGCATCGATTCAAACAATCATTGAACATCATATTGCATGATAGTATTATAGTCTTTTTTTTTTTTTTAAGATTAGATATTATTACTGGTTGTGGGGGGATGTGCAGTACATTTACATCAGAGAAATTTTGTACACATGTCAGTCATGTCACGTCTCATATAGATTTACCAGTAGTTTCAATTAAATCTAATTAAAATGTATGTTACGGAAATTAGTTGTAAACTTGTCCAATTTCCATGAAGTGTATATGTCATTTGAAATTTACAAATTTCCATTATATAAATGTATTTTAAATTACAATAAAATCACCTTTACACATAACTTAAATTTATGACATATCAAATGAAATTTAAGAAACATTAATGAAATTCTGCTCATATTTGCGAATATATAGCTAAATATTAATGATAAATCCAATAAATCAGCATATCAGAAGTCCTAAATGAATGTTAAGCAGAGAGAAAGCTCATTTATATTTCACGTTACAAATTTCAAATGCAGTTAGGGTAAAGTCCATTCTTATAGAAAAAAAAGAAAAAAGAAACATTAGAAATGTCTAACATTCTTTCACGTAATAATGAAGTCCATTCCTTCACCTCCGTTTACTGAAATAGAACTTACTGAAAGTTTTGTTTCATTTTCCCTTAAAAAGAAAGAAAATAATATTCCAACATTTTCATGTAAAAAAGCCCGTCTATCTCTTAACTTCCACTTACCAAATGGATCCTCTGTTTCGTTTTCCTAAAAAAAAAAGCAAGAATGATAGTGATATTAACGTTCTTTTATATAAAAAAACTTCCAAAGGTTCCACTTTATTTTCATAAAGAAGAAATAATAAAAATGTTGAACATTCTATCTTATATGTAAAAAACAGATTACTGGAAATCAAAAGTTTTTTGTTATATTATAGTCAAATTATTTATTTTTCGTATAAAAAATTTAGAGAGACTTGACAATTAAAAGAACTTCCATCCTTTCATATAAAGTATAACTTTTCCAAATTAAGCTTAATTGTGCTCATTTATCACAACACGTGTAATTACCAATCAAATTTTGCACAAACTTAACAAACTTTACACGTTACTATTTTAATAATTATCATTATAACATAACTATTATATAGTTTATTTCTTCTTAAAGTAAAAATTACTTTTTCAAAATATACTAAAGACTAAAAATTTACATGCTTTATCAATAACAGTTGACTTTATAAAAGTGTTGACAACCCAGCAACTTTAACGCAGCAATTAAAATTATCGGCAAACATTCTGAATTAATTGAAGATATAATATTGACAAATTAACCAAGTTATTACTAAATAATATAAATTTTCTATCAAGGTCATAAAAGGTATGTGCCAAATGTATCAGCTATTTATGACCAATAAAATTCGTGCAAATCATCCCACTTCGACCAGTGACTGTCAGTACAATCAACATGTAAAATATAAAATTTCCATTCATTTTTGAAAATTAAGAATTTTAGGGTTAAAAATAAGTTATTCAAAGTGGAAATAATAATTAGTCAAGATAAAATATGTTTTAAAATAGAAACTCGATGTTTATATATTTCTTTACTCGTGACTAGTGTTGCGATCCGTCAATCCGTCAATCCGTCAATCCGCGGATTTATCCGATTCGAAAATCATCCGGATCATCCGAATCATTCATCCGAACCAATCCGTTATATGTTTTAACGGATTATATCCGAATCATCCGGATCGTACATACAACTTTCATCCGGATCATCCATTATTTTCGGACCGGATTGAACGGATGACGGATTCATCCGGATCGCAACACTACTCGTGACTCAAAAAAAAAAAATCTCGTGGTTTTTTGTGACTATAAATTCCTGAAATGACATGGAATATCGATTCAAGAAAAAATTTTTGATTTATTTTTAAATTTATTATTATTATCACTAAGAAAGGAATCTCTATAAAAAATTTCATCGTTTAAATTTAATTATTATCACTAAAAAAGGAATCTCTATAAAAATTTCCGTTATTTTTGTAAAAACTACATAAAAATGTGCCTTTCCCGGATTCATTCACGGAAAGTGTGATATAAGGTTATTAATTCCGGAAATATGAGCCTTTTACGGAAAAAAGATGGAATATAAACACGGATCGACTTTTTTGGATCGCGCGCAGATCATATTAAAGTTCATTTTGATTAAAAGTCGACTTAATTTTAATCACACTTAAGATTATCATGTGTTCTACCAAATTTTACAAATTGAATTTCCTTTTTTGCGGGCTATTTTTTTTCCTGCATTACGAGAAATTTACCTTAAAAAAAAATGGCTTTTTTTAAGATCTTCTTAAAAGTAGGCATGAAAATACTGGTTTTACAAGAATATATACAATATGCAGTAGGAAACATTTTTCAAATTGTAAGTTATTCAGACAGTTTTTGCGTAAAACACGAAAAATTACTTTTTTACTAAAAAGCAGATATATTTAATAAATAATGTGTTTATTCATAATAGCGATTGTAATTACAACTCCTTTTAAACTATATTTGTTAGCTTTGTCATTATTTTGGTCTCTATTTATTACTAATTTTCCTTTTCTTCATTTTTTAGTTTTCTTTTTTAGATTTTGGATCTTTTCGGCTGAGGGAGACTTCGTATAATAACGAATTTTCTTATAACGAAGGTCAGATCGGTCCGGACACCAAATTCGTTATAACGCGAGCCATAACACAAATAATTTTTTTTTTTTAAAAAAAAAATATTGATGTAAAATATAATTTTAGGGGGGTGATTTAACCCAGGTTATTTAACCCAACAGGGGGCAAGTTAGCAAAACTTATATATATATATATATTTTAATATAAAAATAATATTATTATACAAAAATTTATATTAGATACTATAAAGCTACACCTTATCTAATACGTATTTATCAATATAATCAATATCATTTCTAATATTGTAAAGTACATTGTTAAGCGATTCCCTATCCTCTTCGTCCATTCTATCCGAAAATCTTATATATGTATGAGGTTTATTTAACAAAAATTCATCAATAATATCTCTAATCTCGCGAAACTTATCGTTAAGTAATTTCTTATTGTTTTCACTCATTTGATTTGAAAACCCTAATTCTTGTTTTTCTCTATATTCTTTAAATATTTTTAGAATTTTTCGTCCATTAAACAGGTGGCTATTAATTACATGTTTAATCCTATTAAATTCATTTACAATCAACTTCTTATCATTATCGTTCATCTCAGTTGAAAAACTTGATGTTTCAACAGTTTCCTTATATTTATTGAATAATATTTCATCTTCTGGTATATCTAATAGGTGACGAAAAATCACGTGACTAATTTGGTGAAATACATCGTTAAGCAATTTCTTATCTACGTCCATATCTTCTGGCAAATTATTATTTTGAAGAGTATTACCTTCGTCTATATCCCTTATATCTATTGGAAAAACATTTTTTCGAAGAGAATTGTATGCATTGAATATTTTCTCAATATTTGGTTGGTTTAACAAATGATTGTCAATCAACTCTCTAATTTTGCGAAATTCATCATTAAGCAATTTTTGATCATCATCACTTATTGTATTGTCTGAAAATTTTAATTCTCGTTCATATTTATATGCAGCAATTTTTTTCGGATCTTCTTTTTTTCCTAACGTGTATACATCAATAACATGTCTGATTTTGTCAATTTCATCGTTAAGCAATCTCTTATCTTCTTCATTTATACTTGAAAATTCCAAGCGATTTCTATCGTTATCATATTTTTCAAACTCTTTCTTAATATTTTCTGCATCCAATATCCAGTGATTAAATAAGATATTAATCTTATTTCCAAGTCTATTTATAGACCATTTTTGATCTTTATTCATTTTGCTGTCCATATTACCTTGATATAACAGATGGTGATAAATTGCATGTCTAATTTTTTCAAATTCATCTTCAAGCACTTTCTTATCTTTGCCTGAAAATTTTAATTCAGGTTCCGGATAAAATCTACTACGTTTAATGAAGGATAATGAATTTTGTATGAAATTATGAAAAGTATGCGCAAAGCCTCGTGGTTTTAATCGGAAATCACCAAAAAAAAATATTAAAATAGCCGCCGTAGTTCCTAATGATTATAAAAAGAAAATCATTAATAAAACTAATTTATGGAATTAAATTTATCAAGTTATTAAAATTAAATTACCGGATGCGCCCCCGGCTGCTGCAATCGCACTAAGAACAGTATTCGATCTATATAGGGTTTATAAATTAGAGGTTAATGTAATATACGTAATTATCATAACCGAGAATATTATTAACAGTTAATTTACCGTTCTTCGCTTGTCTGTTCTTGTGTAAAGCTTCCAGCAGCTACAGAAAAATAACCAGTTGTTCCTGCTGGTATAACATTCGAATTATTATTAAAAGGAAAATAGTTGTAAAAATTTTCTATTTTTGATGTCACGTGGTAATTGGGCTCAAACCCAAAAATAGCACGACTATCCCCCGGAAGAATAGATCTATAAGTACTCGTTTTAAACTTGACCTTGAAAATGCATAGCAAAAAAAATTAATAAATATGCATGAACTAAATAACTAAACTTGTGTGGGATATCTTACCACAGCAGCAAATCTTATCATCCCGGCAATAAAGTTCAATTGAAGCTTCAACTCTGACAAAGTAGCCTTGTCCATTTGGCTAATAGCCTTGTTCGGATTTGTCACTGGATTAAAATCTTTTTTTTTTTTTAAAAAAAAAAAATAGATTGAATTAGCAAAAGATTAAATCAATATAATTTCCGAGCGAATATTACTTACCAGAAGACATTATTAGTATGGTAAGTGATGCTATGCCAATAGTACCTGCTTCCGCAATCGTCACATTATCATAGTAATAGAAGCCAATCTGGTCGTAACCAGCTATACCACTGTCTGGTTTAGTAAATTTAATGGTTTTGTTAACTTTGAAGGTGAGGCAATTTTTTCTAAAGACCCCATAATCGGTTACATTAGGAAGTATATAGTTGTTACAGCCATCAATTTTTTCTGCAACGACATGATTTGCTTTAAGGTCACAGCGTAAAATTTTCAATTCTTTGGTTCCACATATTGCTATATCTATTATAAATAAAAGAGACATGTACTTAGCGAGTATATATGGAGGTCATAAATGATCGACAAGATTTTGGCCTAAAATAAGCAACTTTTCAGGGCCGGAATTATGATAATTCCGGCCAGTATCAAAAAGAATAATAAAATTTAAAAAGGCAAGATTTTCATGAAAATTTTGGCTCTTTTTAAGCAAACTCAGATGTGACCTTTTTAGGTATTTTTCGGGGTCCTACTTAGCGTAACTGTTCAATAGTTTAATATTTTAATTTATTAAAAGTAAAATCTTACCAGGGATTTCTACTTCATTTAAGAAGATTTGGTCAATTTTTAAGTTTGGCTTATCATTTACGATGTTATATATTAAATAACATAAGTAGAGAAGATATGCGATAATAAGTAATAAGTATAAAAGGTAACGGAATAAATGAAGACAGGTTGACTCGCTTCTCATAATTCTCATAATTAAATATAAGTTTAATAAACAATAAGAGTCTGATAATTTTTGAAAAGTCTTTTCAGGCTCTTTTTATATTAATTGCGTAGTACTCTAGTACTCTATTTTTACAAGAAAAAGTGATTGTAATAATTAAATTACATCTCATTATAGATTTTTTTTTTTTTTAATATTACCAGTTACGTATATCAGCAGATTAAAATGATTGTAAATTTCCAATAACGAACAACGAATACATGCATCTAATAGTACCATAAAATTTTTTTCTGAGGTTAATTAATTATTGTTCCCGGATCAGCAGCCATACAATTTTAATATGATGTTTATAGAATATAATACTAAAATAAAAACCTGTAATCAATAACAAAAAATTTTATTTTGGTCTTATGCTCGACAAGGTAGAACATTGCAGAAACTTAATTTCCTTAATATACAGTAACTTGTGTATTTACTATATTTTCATTATGCGGTTACTAGGACCCCGAGCTATACATATAAAGCCCAAAATCATGTAGATCGTTTCCATTTGTGGATAATTCCGACCAGCATTACATAGTTCCGGCCCTGAAGAAATGCGTAGATCTCATTGACCTATATATATATATATATAACTCGGGGTCCTCGGTTACTATTACACTATGTAGTTACTGTATGACTACGATGCAGTTACAATACAGTCACTGCATATTAAGGAAAACAGATTTCTGTAATGAAAGTACGAATTCAAAATATTAACGTTAAACAAGGATACAATTTCGACCAATAAATTTGGGATGGCATGTTATATAAACGGAAATTGAAAACAACAAACAAACAAACAAACAAACAAACAAACAATACAAACAATAAGAACACATTTTGTATTTTTGAATAAAATTTTGAACCAAATGAATATCTAATCATTGTTTATTAATTAATGCGGGCGTTCTTGTGTATCAAATTCATTTGATTAATTTAATTTTTTAAGGAAAAATATTCTTAATATACTCTTTCCTATTTGATAATTTGTTGTACTCTTAAAATATTGTATTACAATTTTTTTATATTTTTTAAAATAAAGTGGCCCATAAATATGGCCCGCCGTACATAAACTCCTATGTAAACTACTCTTTTTGGTTGAGATCTACATGAAAACTTTGCCCGCGAATTTAAAGAGTATTACATCTCCTTATGAGTCGATGGATTATATATATTTTTTATTAATCATAAAAAAAAATAAAAAAAAAATTTTTAACGCAATAAATAAATCATGCTTCTAAAAAAAAATTCCAAAATAGATTTTTTTCCTCATGTTAAATTTATTTTATTATCGAAATTATCAAAAAAAAAAANAAAAAAAAAAAAAAAAAATTCTAATTATCATTATTATTTAAGGAAAAATATTCTTAATATACTCTTTCCTATTTGATAATTTGTTGTACTCTTAAAATATTGTATTACAATTTTTTTATATTTTTTAAAATAAAGTGGCCCATAAATATGGCCCGCCGTACATAAACTCCTATGTAAACTACTCTTTTTGGTTGAGATCTACATGAAAACTTTGCCCGCGAATTTAAAGAGTATTACATCTCCTTATGAGTCGATGGATTATATATATTTTTTATTAATCATAAAAAAAAATAAAAAAAAAATTTTTAACGCAATAAATAAATCATGCTTCTAAAAAAAAATTCCAAAATAGATTTTTTTCCTCATGTTAAATTTATTTTATTATCGAAATTATCAAAAAAAAAAAATTCGAAATAAAAAAAATTTAGATCTTTTTATTAAATATCAAATGAAAAAATTTTTTTTATTAAAAAATTATTTTTTTCTGGAATGCAAGAATGACTAATAAAAAAAATCCACTCTCGTCATATTCTTTTAGAAAACTTACTTAATAAAGAAACTTCTTACATTAATTAAAATATTTTCTCATATCGAATTTATGCACCTTGCATTTTTTTAATTAAACATGATTATCACTCATAATAGCATAAAAACTTTGTATTTTTTTCCTATTTGTATTTCCTGCGCATTGTCCTACAATTCTTTTAATTTGAAGTACAAAGCATTTGGCGTTAATTGCAAAAATCTGTTGAATATTATAAACTACTCTTGAAAATTTCATCATTTTGTGGGATTCATTTTAGCATGAATGAATCCATTGTGATACCATAAATAAATAAAGCATTGGGGCTTTTCGATTAAAGATAGAATGATTATCATTAAGAGTTTTTTTGCCGTAAAAATTACTGTGCCGCGTTTTTTTAGCTTTATAGTATAATTACAACAGTTTATTCAAAGCAAACGCTGTCTCTTATACACATCTAGATGTGTATAAGAGACAGGCATTGGGGCTTTTCGATTAAAGATAGAATGATTATCATTAAGAGTTTTTTTGCCGTAAAAATTACTGTGCCGCGTTTTTTTAGCTTTATAGTATAATTACAACAGTTTATTCAAAGCAAACGCGTTCTTAAAGGTTAAGTAAAGTTATTCTGCAGATATGAGACTATTTAAATATTAATTTTCATCAAGTTGGTTTGAATATTCATAAAATTATACTCATTTCTTTATCATATTCTATGCAGACACTTAATTTTATTGTACGTGAGTTGTATAGAAACAACACTTTTTGTAATGAAATTTACCATGTACACATGAGTCCACTGAAATACAACATATCAAATGACAAATGTTAAAGAATTTTTCTTTCTTGTATGTAAGATTAAATATTTGTTGCTCTTTTTTTTTCACAAAACAAAATATTTTCTAAGACAAAGTTACATATTTAAGAAAAAGGTACATCATACACCCGGGATTGAAAGTTTGAATATCAATAGGAATGACTTACCATCTAATGTTTTGGCCAGCGGTGTGTCGCAATATAAGTAGAGGCTGAGACTTGTGTTGAAATTTATATATAATGATTAATTCATCTGTCCGCAGTCCGCACGCGTGTAGATCTGATCAAATTGCTAGGATCTGTCACTGTACGCGTAATACTTAATACTTCTACAACACGTGTTAAATCTTTAATTAGTTTTAAACTAATTTCTATTAGTTTTAAAGTTTGAATTAGTTTAGAATTAATTTCCTGATACAAAAATATAAAAATGTCTGCTGTTGCTATTGAACTTTTTTCACTAATCTTTTTTCCTGATACTAATAAAAATGTCTGCTGATACTATCGAACTTTTCTGCCTGGTTCAAGGAAATACAGTTGCTCAAGCCTTTACATTGAAAATCGACCAAAATAAAAGTATTGGTCAACTTAAGGAAGTTATTAAGATGAAAAAAACTCCCGAGTTTAATTTCTTTGCTGTAGATCAGGTTTCGTTATGGAAGGTTCAAATTCAAGGTGATAGTGACGAGAAACTAAATAAACTTAAACTTCGTAAAGAGGATCAACTTCTTTCAATGAGGAAAATTAGTAGCTACTTCACTGAAAAACCGCTTGAAGGGTATATTCACATCATTATCGAACCACCCGAACTTCCAATGGTTCCTTGGAGTGATAGTCTCGAGAGTCGCCTCTGCCAGTTGTATGCAAGTGACAACATTGTGGACATATTCTGGGGTCAAAACCTTAAAGAAGACGATGCAACTTGGCGTATTTACGTTGTTACTCGCAATCTCCTTCGTCAAAGTGAAAAGACAGAGAAGATCGGAGATCAAGTAATTAATTTCATAGCAGTAGAAGAAGGGTTTGTCAGTGCCGAAATTCCACCACAAAACCCCCATGATCCGCTGCCAACCTGGAAGAAGACCCCAAAAAAATTACAAAAGGCTTTTGATGAAGCATTAGACAATGAACTGGGCCTATCGTTCCGTAAAATGCATTATAATTTGGTCGGCATGAGTACTGGCTATAAGCGAATTCAAGGCAAGTTTACTGAAGTCCCCGCTATCATACTATACGTTCGCCAGAAGGGAATTCTGCGTCGTGGATGTGTCAAATTCCCAGATGAGATTCGTGGATATCCAACAGATATTATTGAGGCTTGCGTTGCAACTCCCTATGGCTTTGGTGCAAGTGCTTGCCAATCTTATCAGGAGAATATTATGTTAGGGTCGAGTATAGGAATAATTGAATCTCAGGGGACGTCTGGAACTCTCAGTGCTGTCGTATATGATAAAGACTCAAGACAAATTGGTATCCTCTCATGTGAGCATATATGTAGGCTTAGTGATTCTAGCACTGGAAAGGATGTTATAATTTATCAGCCCTCACATAAAGATCTAGATAATTTGAAGGAGTCATTTGTTGAAATGGCAAGAGTAAATAAAACGTACATAAAAATTTCAGAAGAAATGTGTAATAAAATCGAAGAGGATAAAAAGAAATCAGCTCTAGCGTATTATAAGCGTGGTATCCAAGGCAACTTTTTCTCTAAAATACATGAAAAGTACTTTGGCATCGATGCTGCATTTTGTATTTTCAGTAACATCAATCGTACATTATGCCCAAACAAATTTTCAATTTCCCCAGAGGACTTAAAAAAAGAAAAACTTTCTGAAGACATCTATCTAAATGACTTTTACGAATTTAAAGAATTTGATGACATTGTTGATATTGATGTCTTTAAAGTAGGAAAGGCTACAGGTCTTACTTTTGGAAAATTGGTCCCTATTTATTCTGCTGTTTCCATTGATCTAAGAAACAAAAACATTGAATACGCAAAAAAACAAGGAATAATCCCCCCTTATAATGATGATGACGTAGACAAAAGAATATTCATTGGTTATATGAAGACACGCTTGGTCGAAAAAATCAATGAAATGCGCCAGCAATGTTATCCTACTGTGTGGTTTGATCGACAACTAATATTCGAATTCAAACCTGGAGACTTTGTACCTGGAGACTCGGGAGCAAGTGTTGTGAATAAAGAAGGAAAGGCTCTTGGCATCCTTCATGCGGCATGGATAACAGAAAATTCCAATTATGCCATTGCTTCTCCTTACTTTGCTGTTTTTGAAGCATTGGACGTGGTAAAGGAATAGATCGCATACTGAATCTAAATTAGCTTACCCATACAATAAATGTGGTGCAGTGTATGTATGGGAATTAATAAAAAGTAATTAATTCATAAATAATAATTATCTTCCCTCATGTCATGTGATTTTTCGATTATATAAATTTAATATGTATAACATAATAATTTAAGCAAATTTAATAAACACAAATTTAAACACAAATTTATTAAAATTTTATAATGAAAATTTCATGATATTTTACATTTTGGAGCTGGGCTCACAGTAGTAATTCGAGCCATTATACATGGACTAAACATTCTCTTTACTACACTCATTTTTTTTAGAACGAATTTCGTGAATCATGAATGATACCATGATTTACAAATAGAAGTATAGAAGTCAACAGGACAGGTCAGATGTGGCGTAATAACACGTGATTTATTTTCACGTGACATTAACTATTAGGCCGTATGAAACTTTAAATTCAGATATATGATAAATATTTCGATTTTATTTTATTTTCAGTTAACGTATATAAAATTCGATTATTAGATCATGTGATCCTAGACCCTCCTAATATGATTGGCCCAAATTATCAGCCACATTTATTTATTTATTTATTGTTTATTGTCATCACTATACATCTCTCTTTCTTGCATCTTTTCCCACATTTTTTCCATATTTTTTATTTGTTGTGGTTTAAAATTTATTTTTTAATTAATAAAAACAGTATTTTCTTTAATAATTAATTTTAAAAAAAGAAAAGTTGTTAATGCTTTTCATAATAATTTTATAACAAACGCGTTTTTTCATGTAGGGACTTCATAACGTTCCTGCTTTTTAAAAGATTAATGATTCCATGCCAAATTTCTATGTGTTCAAGGCCAGCCCATTAAAAAAGAGGAAAGATGAAACATTAATAAAACATTATGTTAAATGAATAATTAAAAAAAAAAAAGACAAACTGTTAGTAAAGTTCGTTGAAATAAAAAAAAAAATTAAAAAATTTTGAAAAACATCAAAATTTACCAAAAAAACACCTAAAAGTTTCGTTTAGGATTTTTTTTTCAACAGAAAGTACGATGTGGGAATGGGGAAAGAAAGATGAAGAAAAGGGAGTCAAGTTCGATTCTTCAGAACTCGACATGAAACTTAGGCATGCTATCTATGATAAGAAGAAGAACACCTTTTCTAATCAAAATATTGATGAAAGTGACCTCATATAATGGAAAGTCGATATCCCTTTTTACAATGAAATGATAATTTGAAGATGCTTGATGACACGCCTTGTACAATTAACGTTGAACGAGATCTTGAAGGAAAGGAGATGCTTTCAGGAGACTCAATTTCATAAATATATTTGAGAAACCTTAGACATATGTATACGTGAGCAGACCCATGAACTAAATCGTAAAAAAGCCTTCATTGCAATTAAAGCTCAATTGAACACAATAACTCACCTAATATCAGAGATGATAAATAAATACCATTTAGAACACTTTGATAAAACACGACTCTCGATCCACATTCTCGTGCAACCGCCAAAGCTCGCCACCATTGGTAAGTGTCTCCCAATGGTTTACCTCTCGAACAAGAAATTTGCGGACCTTTTATTAACTTATATCTGATTTCTTTTTGTGTTAAACTCGGTATCTAAATCAAAGTAGGATCAACTTCCATTCCAATGAGACGACCAGGTAAATATCAATCTTCTAACCGTGAACCTGTTGCTCCTTCAGTTGGAATAATCTTAATAAAGCACAAATCGTTCTTAAATTGTCAGAAAATTTTGACAATACTGCATTCACTTCCGAACCACTACCAGGTAAATGAAAGTTAATGGAAACGAAATTGTGCTGGAGGACAGTGTAATGTTAGATGCACAAGACAGGCTAATACTTAACAATGGTGTACCTGTGGATGAGTCAACATTATCAACAAAGAATCTTGTGAAATTTCTACATTTATATTAATCTCCAGATGGAATAATCTACGGAATATCAACACAGGATATATTGATACAAGATTCATACTTGCAGATGATTGAAGAGATTGAATGTGATCGTAAAGATGGAGTAACAAAAGGATGCACCCTAATTGGATCACCTGGCATTGGAAAACTCCTTAAACTTATAATAAGTCACTTAATGAGTATTACTGGATTCGTTGGTTTGGTAATCAGCCCTTGCTCTCAATTCAGGCACCCTAATTTTGTTGTTTAGTAAAGTCTGCTTGTTCTGAAGGAGGAACTGGTTATGTACCTTCTTTATATCTTGCTTTCTATCTAACTCGTCGGTATACCTCAGCAAATATCATTTACCAACAACCAGATGGAGGAAATGTCACCGTTACTCTTCTTATTAATCAACAAAACAGAAGTGTAATTAAATTTCCTGGTGGTTTGGAGATGAAGACCCATACAAAAAATAGTTTCTATATTGCAGATTCTATAGCTCCTTCATTATGTAAAACAATATATACATTTTTGGTTAAAGAATGTTCGATGGCATGATTTCAAAAAGCATAATCCCAGAAAGTATTATGCTCCGATTTGGACAGAGAAGGAAATTTGGGATGTTTGCGAATGGAATGAGTAGTATAGGAAGCAAATATCTAAAGCTCAAGTTAAGGAATTGGTTAGGATATGGGGTTGCATACCATGAAGAGTTTTCGTTGAATATGGTGAACCGGACATTTCAGAATTAATCCCTCAATGTGATTCTTATACTTTTATTAAAAAAGAAGGGGTGATTTAAATGATAATTATACCGGAAAAGCAATATACATTACTCCTAATTCTGATTTTACAGATAGAAAATATGTTCCCGTTTCAACAGAAATATGCGAGGCCATGTACGGACATCATGAAAGAAAAGCTTATTGAAATAATAAAAAATTTTGCAAGGACTGCTGGTTCATTATCTGGCAGATTTTTTGAAATGATGTCATATGATGTTTTGCGAAAAGGTGGTAAATTTAAGATGTGATGCTTAACCAATAATAATAAAAATGATCTGGAGCTTCAAGAACTGGATTTCAAATATTTTGATGAAATCACTCCAGGGTGTTATAACGTTCCCAAAGATCCAACTTTTGAGTCTATTGATTCTCTTGCACCTAATCGTAATGGGAGTAATTATATATACCAAACAACAATCGCAGAAAAACATAATGTTGGTTTTTATAGTTTTTGTTTCCACTATTAATTACGCTTATGTTATGCAGGTACAAGGTTTTAGTTTAATCTACCCATTTATATTTTGTTGTTCCAAATATATACCATATGTTGATAATTATTATTTGCAAAATTATGTTACAGCAGATAACAGAGTATATGTAAGATGGATAGAAATACAACATGGATTAAGAATAAGGTGGTTCAATATGTTCTCCTGATCAATTTGTAATTAGATAGCTTATTGAGCATATATAAGATTACCTTTATGGTTTTGACTATCAGATTATGTAAATTAATAAAGAAAAGTGCGCCTATTGCAACCCGATGTGAGTGAAAATCTTATTAATTTTTCCATTGATTATAATAAAGCTAAAAGATCCAATATGTTAAAAAGTCTGAAGAGAGGAATTATTGAGCACTAAACCATAAAATGAGAGTCCACTTCCCAAATTGACACTGCGCCATCGAGACACAACGACAATTATTGATTGCCTCGGAGAAAATTAATTTGCTGATATACAGTATAACAAGAAGAACCGGAAAATTTTATTAGAACGTGGTGGAGTTCTTGATCATATTATTAGCATCTCCCAACATAACCCATTTTTTAATTGCGGATTTACCTTGTTTTGCGGTTTTGGTTGACCCCTCTCCTTTCCCTTTTTATTCTTATATTTGTAGTATTGATGTAAAGATGATAGGTTTGACTTATTTGTAGAAGGTGGATTACCAGCCTTATTTTATATGATTGGGTAGCAGTTCAATTTGGAATTTGAACTATTTCATCAAGAAAATCTGATCAACGGGATCCACTCAAAATTATAATAAAAAACTTTGACGCTACCCATATACAAAGGTCAGCAAGAGTGTCTTTTTTTGTTATAAATACATGTAAAACTTTGAATACATGCAGGAAGTTTTGAGATGCAATTATTTGTTCCCGCAATACTGATGTGAGTGACGTCTAACGTTACTGCAGATTTATCAAACGTTATGTCGGATGTTGCGTACATTATGACTTGTCTGGATAAATTTTGTATATAAACAAGATGAAAGAGCACCTTTGAAATAAGAAGGACGAGATGTAAAATTACTGCATGTGCACGAAATTCTTTTGTATTGTTATTCTCACTGATTTGAATAATATTGAAAGTTTAACTAGGACTGAAATAATTGATGTTCCCGTATGACACTTCCGAAGAACGTTTGCCAAAATATATTATTTGGCAAAACTCGTTAACCACACTATTGTTGCAGAATCTATGATAGTATCAGCGGAGTTGACATGAGATACATGTAGTAAGGTCTCAAACTTGGGTAGAACTAATTAATATCCGTAATTTATTGTTATTTAAATATTGTATAACAATAAGACTTTTAAAAAATTCTGGCTAGAAATTACTATAAAATTTACTATAAAATTTATTATTTTGAAATATGACTAATTTAACTAATCGAAATTCCGAAATGATATTATAATACATTGTATAGACACTTACTACGAACATAATAATGCTTTATTACTATATTGCTATTATCAATATTATACGCAAACTATTGATGTTCGATGTTCAATGATTAACTATTGATGCAATATATTGTATTACATAAAAAAAATATTGGTCATACAAAATCAGCATGATCCTATAGGGTCGCGCAATAATAAAATAGTAATTATTTGTACATGAAACAAGTTCAGTTGGTATTCTAATACTGCTATTTATTGAATTTTATAATAATGATAAAAAGTTTTTTCTATATAATCTTTATATTTGTTATAGTAAAAGAGTACGTTTCTTAATATTCACTATAGTTATTAGCGTTTCAAAGTAAATAAAACACTAAAAAAATAAACGATATTATCCATCCAAAATAACATAAAGTAAGTAAGTACTTGAAATTCATAATCAGATTACAAAAGTGACGTTGAATTATCATCAATAGGTTATCAAACATTTCAATAATTATGATAATATTGTACCTAATTGGTTTTATACAATTATTGTTATACTAAGTTTAATAATTATGATCATACTATCAGATAATTAATAAGTCTATATTTGAGTTGACTCAACTCGAGTAAAAATTTTATTTAACTTGACAATAATTTAAGAAATAATAAGTCATATTTCTGTCATCAAGAATTTGCTATTTAAACACCAGTATTTTCAAACAACATCAACCTTTCAAATAAACATCGACCTTCAATAAACATCGACCTTCAATCAACATCAACCTTTCAAATAAACATCGACATTCAAATAAACATCGACCTTCAATCAACATCAATCTTCAACATCAATTAAAAATCAACATCAACATCAATTAAAACACAAGTCAATTTGGATTTAAATCAACATGTCACACATGTCACACATGTCTAATACTAAAAGCACTCAAAAGAGAATAAGTGAAAGTACGGAAGAAACTTTAACTTTGACTACACCCATCATATATCCTAGTAGAAAAAAAGTAAAAGTTAATGAACCAAATAACCAATTAGAAACTTTTACAACAATTATTCAACAATCAATTGAAATAGATAATAATCTTATTGACATTATAAAACAACATCCCGTAGTCAATCTACCAAAACTGGGACAAAATAAACTTCAGGATCGTTTTCACTTTTCTAATGAAACTTTATCTTTTATAAGACATAAAAATCATCATAATCAGATCACAAAAGCATTCATAAAGATGGCAAAAGAAGAAAGCAGTTCTAAATGTCTCTATATACGTGGATCTTCTGGTTTAGGAAAGTCGCACAGCTTATATTATCTCGTTTCAGAACTTCGTATACAACCTGATTACAGAGTAACATACATTAATAGTTGTGAAGAGTGGTGGATATCTCATCAGATTGAACCATATCAATACCTAATAAATGAGCTTCTATGTACTTTCAATAAAGATTTATTGTCTCCACTTACAATAACTGATTGGGCTGAACTTGTGATTTATGGTCTTACAACTAATATACGTGAAAAATTGAATGCCGCTGATAAAGATCAACATAGCATCAAGTTTAATAGGTTTAATGACATAAATACTAGGTAATTTGAAACTTTCAAGTATCATTAATATTATTTCAACTTATTAATAAAATTTAAATTTATTAGGAAAGATCGCTTTAAATTATTCATTAATGAATTAGCAGATTTTGTTAAACATGATTTTTATTGGGTTTGGATCTTTGACCAATGTGATGCTTTACATAAACATGAAGTTCTTAACGAATATCCTTTTACATTGGTAAATAGTCTTAATAGAATTTTAGAAAATGCTGGTCTTATTATTGTTTCAGAAACTTCTAGCAATGAAATATGCCAATTTAAATCATGGAATAAGTTACAACTATTTGATGGTTATGATGATGAAGAGTTCAATCAATGGTGTATATTACATGGTTATGATGGAAATGAAGATCAATTGAATTATGTGAAATATTGGACAGGCGCTAATCCCTTGGAATTGGATACATGGCATAGTACAGATGCAGGAGATTTAAAGAAGAAAGCTAAAAATGCTAATCCCTCAGAATTGGATATGTGGGATTTAATGAAGAAAACTAAATACTACTTTGGAAAAAGAGAATGTGATATAACAAGAGATTACAAAATTTATCAAGAAAATTTGTCAAAAACTAAGAAAAAGAATCTCAATCAATGTGTTGTTTCTATGATTCTTCAAACTGATCCACCTACCAAGAGAGATGGAATGAATCGAAAATTTATGCATGTTGGTAATATTACATTTCAGGATGTGAATGAGGAAGATGAAAAAACAAAAAAAACAATCATTGCCAATTACCCATTTATCAGACTAGTCATGATTCATGTCCATGGTAAAGAAATTATTGATGATCTTGGAAAAGTTACTTCAACAATTCTACAAAGTAACATATTTATTAATAAAAAAAAGGAAAGGATCGCATCATTATATATCACAACAATATTAGATATTGTAAGAAAATTTGAGTTCAGATGTTGGTAAGTTTTTTTAATTGTTTGATTATTGTTATTTTATATGGAAATGTACTAATATATGGTATTTTATTAATTTAGGGAATTTGGATTTCCAAGTTCAAATGTATTTGACAAAAGCATTGTTTTTGACAAAATCTTCAGATTAGTCAATAATGATGTACCTTCTTCCATGTATAATTTCGCAGTGTACAAAAATGTTCTTTTCATTCCGGAGTTCCTTAACTATCCTGGTGTAGATTTTCTTATCTGGAATTCTGAGGATAAAGTATTACTTGCATTTCAAATTGCTATAAATAAGCTTAATGATAGAAAAAATGAAAGTAATTTTACAAAAGAAAATAATGGTCCATCTTTAAAAAGCAAGTGGGCAAATCTGTTTAGAATAAATGAATCTAATATTTATTTTATTTGGATTACCCGTGATAACACCATTAATAAAGTTACTAAAAGTTCATCCAATCAGCTTCATGTATCATTTTCAAGCATAAAAAATCAATTTCCAGCTTTAGCAAATTTGTAGAATAATTATTCAGCATTTTATAACAAAAAACTTTTTAATATTGAAAGAAGATTTATATCAACGATTTTTTCAAATTGAACCAGAAGATTTACAATAACAAGAAAATGATACTATTATTAATTTAGTTTTTTTTATCTTAATAACTATTATTAATTAGCTTTTTTATCTTAACAATTCTAATCTTGTAAAATCCTTTAACAAAATCCAAAAATAAATTTAATTTTTATTATTTTTCCGATTAGTATGTAAATTATATCATGGAATATAATGGAGATAACGAAAATTTTATTATGGAAAATGTTGAAGATCATAGACAAGCTTGTGAAGATTCTGAATTATACATGAACGTTTTGTTCAAATACATACTCCAAGACGTATGATGCCAGATGATTTATAGGAGGAAACAATTTATGAATGTTTAAATTAACGAAAATATATATAAAATCTATCCAATAAATAATAATGGTTTGACAACAATCTTTGCCTAATTAATAAAGTTTTTGAATATAATACATAACCCAATAATTTTTAACTCATGTCACTTTAAATATTTTCTTATATAATGCATAAGTAGTGATTCTTTTTATAACAACTATAGCCCAATTTGGATGGTTATTTCCGTTATTATAAATTTTTTATTGATCTAACTGATCCTTTACATCAATTTGTTTATGAAATATTTTCTACAAAATGAAGCTTGCAAAGGATATATTATTAGAGAAATTATGTAATAAGCCAAATGTCATAGTTAAAAGTATTTGGCCTAATTTTAAATTATTGAAAAAAAAAATGAATGATTATATTAGAGCACCAAAAAATTGCCAAACTATACCAAGAACTTGGAGGATTTAAATTATAGATGCTGGGAATAGTATTGTAGTATATTTAATAATTATCTGAAATATAGCTAAAGTTTCCTGCTCGATATATATGAAATTGTAAGGAATTATAGAATCTAATTGTAACACCCAGTTACATATCTGTAACGTCTGAAGTAGCATATTTTTATTGGTCAATTTATTTCACATGATATTACACAAATCCAAAAAGGAAATTTGCTCTGGAAAAATACATAAAGTTACACAATTTTATCAAAAAAGGAAAATTTCTTTGCTAATCACTTGATAAGGTTTTTGTCAAATAAATCACACGACATTCAAAACCACTTTTGTCTTAAAGTAAATTAAATCCATTTGTTACATTATTTTTTAATATTATATATTGATTTATTATAAACTTTTTTGTTATTTTGTTTTAAAGGATATTACAAATAAAACATGGAACAGGATATTACATATACATAATACATTAAATTCTGTAAAAATGCCAAAATTATATACAAGTACTTACAAAAATGCCAAATTAATTTCTACAATTTCTACATTTCTACAAATTTTTGAATATAAATTTTAATATGATTTCTATATTTTTACAAGTTTCCAAATATAATTTAATATAATTTCTATGTTTCTGAAATAATTTTAATATAATTTCTATATTTCTACATTTCTACAATTGCTGAAATTATTTAATTTTGACAGGTAACTTTAAGTATAGTCTTTCAAGTATATTTGAGACAATGCATCTATCTGTTACACCATATGTATAGTTATCTTTTTTGTGCAATTGTTCTTACAATATTATGTTTTACCAAATTTGTTTTTCCTATCTTTTCTTCAGTATTACCTTTATAACTTTCAACTAATTTAGTTAAAATGTCATTTCACTTCTATATTCAATTTATAAATAAATTATTCTTTCTTACTTTTGTCCTTAGGAGTATGCTTCTTTAATATCTCTCTTCCTGTCAAGCAAAGACTATCAATTTTGCTTCCATTTCTCTTTCATACGTACTTCTTGTTCCATTGTTTCTATCTCTCTCTTCATTTCTCTTCATATAATTCCCCCCTTAGATTATCATTTCATATTCACCATTTTCATCATATTCTAATTCTTTCCATACATATTCTGTCAGTATTTCTATTATCTTATTATTTTCCTGTAATTCCAAAATTTATTTATCATTATCAATTTTTCCCTTCACTTTTTCAATTTAATACTTAAAAAAATAAATATTTTATGGTGAAAATAGTCATGTGTCAAATTTTTGTCCCAGATCGGAAATATTTGCATAACCAAGAGTGCTTGTTATATGAAACAGGATTTACGTGAAAGATTCATTATAGTAAGTTTTAAATTTTTTAGAAAATTTTTACGTACAAAAGTAACTAACCTATTTAATGCTAACTTTTCTTTAATTTTAAAATGATTGTTCAGAAGAATGAGTGTAAAAAATTCTTATTAAAATAATCGTATCCCTGTAAAAAAAGTCGATCCGTTTTTTATATTCCGTCTTTTTTCCGTAAAAGGCTCATATTTCCGGAATTAATAACCTTATATCCCGGAACTTATCTAATTATTTACATTTTCCGTGAATGGATCCGTGAAAGGCTCATTTTTACGGAGTTTTTACAGAAATAACGGATAAAATTTTTTATAAGGTATCGTAACTTAGTTTAAAAAAGATTTTTTATAATGCTGGCCAAAAGTTAAGATTTATAGTTGCCTTTATTGACCATCACATGTTCCGATACATTTGATCGATTTCTCTATATGAAAATCAAATCGGTACTTTTTGTACTTTTCGTGATAAAGTTGCAGACCAAAACTTCGGAGTTATAATAATTTTTGCTCAATCTTGACGGTTTTTAACAGTTTCACTATATGATATTGTGAGTTTGTCAGAAGTAAAATAAAATTTTGTGGCGCAGTAATTTGACTCGGGAATAATGTTAAAATATTTCAAATATATATATCAGTATATATATTCATCTTCAAAGATTTAATCATGTAAAAATTTATCAATTATTTATTTATTTTTGTTATTCTTCATTCGTATAGTGTTGATTTTTAATTTTAAGTAACTAATTTACGATAAAATGATAAATTTTGTTTCTTTTATTATAACCATATTTATCATCACGCTTTTATAATCAGTTTGATTGAGGCAGATCATTTATTACTTCTAGGAAGAATTGTGCCAGCATATTCTAATTTTATCGTATAGTTATCAAATAAGATATATTTTTAAAGTTAATTGATGATGAATCAAATTTATATTTTACAGTCACCGCCAAAATATACAATTGTCTCAGAAAAATAAAATAGTCAGGATAAGGCGAGTTTATTTTGTGTAAGAAGTGACAATAATTATGACGTCACTACCTTGGATAATACTGGTCAAGTTTCACGTGGAAATTTTCATGTGTCACGTTATACGTCATATGGAAGACGCAAAATCTCAAGAGCGCGATCTAATTTTATCATTGTTGATTGCTCACAGGATTTACTTACTAATTATCGCCATCATCGTCATGTTTTAGGATTGCTAATTAAATAATATTTTCGCTCCGGAAAACAATAGTTTACTTCTCCTAGTTTACACTTTCCGAAGCGTTAGCGAAGGACTTTCCATTCCACTCGAAAACATGTCAATATCCGTCCGTCACACCGCGTGTATGACCAATGAAATTTTAAGATCAGGTGTAATGCTTACATAAATTATTAAAAATTCGGGTTAATTATATTTTAAATTAATTATAGTTAATTTTTTTTGTAACGAATTACAAATTATAATAAAATTAATAATAAATATTATTGGCTTTTTAAAGTGTTAATAAATTTTTTACTTTTAAAGTGTGCTCCTTTAAATCGTTTTTTCTAAAAATTTGATATGATTTTAACATTTTTTGGCTATAACTTTAGCGATACATTTTTTAACTTTACATTTTTTAGCAATACATATTTTTGTAGACAATTTTAATTTTTTGTGATATGTAATTGATGATCATGCGATTATAACGCTTCGGACGCTCCAAAGAACTTGTATATTAAGATTGTAACGCAGCAACACATGGTTGTGCGTTAAGTAGCCCTTGAGTAATAATGAAATTCGTGCCACTTAACCGGAATAAACAAATAAATAATTGCGCCATTGCTACAATATATGCAGTATTAGTTATTATGCAGACGCCCAAAATTATGCTAAACTAATAAGGTACCTTTTATAACGTAAAAAATCAGAATATTTTACCTATAAAGTATATTATTTACATTCATGCGTGATATTTAATCTAAATGATGTAATGCTTCTAGATATTTATGCAATAAACGGTTTATTTGCACCTTAATCTAAAAATATCAACATATCAAAATAGTATAGTCCTATTTGGCTGCATAATAATTTCTTATCGTTCTTTGTTTCCTCGCTTATCTTCACATTTAGTAAAAAAATTTTAATGTACGATATATACAGTATATACAACATATACTTTTCTTTTTCATGTTATGACAAAACTATTTTTACAATCCGCTGATTGTAAAAAAATCTCTATCTGAACGCCCTCATTATTTACTAGGAGTTCAATTAGTAAATCAATTTGCATCGTGCATCGTGTTTGTCATCATTCTAATCAGTATGATGTATATGGAGAGCCAAGAATCTTGAATATAACGATATGAAATATCTTGTAAGCATTTCTCAAAGAAAAAGCAGATTGGTTCGTTTGGGAACTTCAATATCAAATGGAATTTTAGTTAGGGCGAAACCTTGATATTAGTATTATATGGAGAGCAGTACATCATTTACACACATGGACAAGTATTTGATATTTATTAAGATTTCATTATTATTTTTTGTATTTTTTTTTTTTTTTGTGATTTACTGTTGAATATAGTATTCAGAAGAATAAATTAATACAGAAGATTATGTAAATTTTCTGTTATATTACTTTTTAATAAATTATATATTAAAACTAAAAAAAGATCTAATTATAGATATATTCATTCTTTGTAATAACTTCAAAAAAATATGACCATAACCTTTGGTATTAGACAGAGCGTCCGTATACGAAAATAAGCACTTGCGAGGAATTTGACGAAAAAAAGGAAATTATTACGACCCAGTTAAGAATATGGTATTACGATTGTAATTTTACAAG